CTCTTTTGCGAATATGTTAGCCACCATTTATGCTAGTTGCTTGCTCCATATCATACATTGCCTTACCTATAAGCTTAAATAGTCTTGATCGCGAGGGTGTGAGATTGCTGAGTCCCCGTGACTCACAGATTCCTTCCAAACCAGATGCAGGGACCGATGATACCGTTCCAGCTGATATGACCGAGCTCAAGTGGGAGTTCGATGAAGACTTTCATCGTTACTATGTGTCTTTCCCAGATGATCAGTAGTGGTGCCCAGTTGGGGCGATCAGGGACTTTGTCGCATTTGGGGGTTGATCTTTATTTTGGTACCGTAGTCGGACCCTGAGTATATTGGATGAATGTAATGACTTATTTATGTATTTATGTGACGTGGCGAGTGTAAGCCAACTATGTACCTTTCCCCTTTATTTATGTAAATGGGTTGTTTGCGAAGATTACCTCACTTGCGACATTGCTTTCAATGCGGTTATGCCTCTAAGTCGTGCTTCGACACGTTGGAGATATAGCCGCATCGAGGGCGTTACACAATATGAGCATCCAGGTTCCGCTATTGGTTATTAACCGGAGACATGTCTCGGTCATGTCTACATAGTTCTCGAACCCGTAGGGTCCGCACGCTTAAAGTTCGGTGACGATCGTAATTAGGGTTTTTGTGTTTTGATGTACCCAAGATCGTTCGGAGTCCCGGATGTGATCACAGACATGACGAGGAGTCTCGAAATGGTCGAGACATAAAGATTGATATATTGGAAGCCTATATTTGGATATCGGAATCGTTCCGGTTGAAATCGGGATTTTACTGGAGTACCGGAGGGTTACCGGAACCCCCCGGGGGTTAATGGGCCTACATGGGCCCTAAGGGAGAAGAGGAGGGCCGGCCAGGGCAGGCCGCGCGCCCCCTCCCCCTAGTCCGAATAGGACAAGGAAGGGGGGGGGGGCGCCCCCCTTTCCTCTTTCCCCCTTCCCCTTTCCTTCTCCAACAAGGCAAGAGGGGGGAGTCCTACTCCCGGTGGGAGTAGGACTCCTCCAGGCGCACCCCTAGGGGCCGGACGCACCTCCCCCTCCCTCCTTTATATACGGGGCAGGGGGCACCCCATGACACACAAGTTGATCTTCGTGATCGTTCCTTAGCCGTGTGCGGTGCCCCCTTCCACCATATTCCACCTCGGTCATATCGTAGCGGTGCTTAGGCGAAGCCCTGCGTCGGTAGAACATTATCACCATCATCACGCCGTCATGCTGATGAAACTCTCCCTCAACACTCGACTGGATCGGAGCTCGAGGGACGTCACTGAGTTGAACGTGTGCAGAACTCGGAGGTGCCGTACATTCGGTACTTGGATCGGTCGGATCGAGAAGACGTACGACTACTTCCTCTATGTTGTGTCAACGCTTCCGTTGCCGGTCTACGAGGGTACGTAGACAACACTCTCCGCTATTGTTGCTATGCATCACCATGATCTTGCGTGTGCGTAGGAATTTTTTTGAAATTACTACGTTACCCAACATCACTGCCTTGTATGGATTGCTACTTCAACCGGCACCATCTTGTGAGCTTTCGGCATTCTCTGATGCGGATTGGGCTGGCAGTCCTGATGACAGACGATCCACGGGGGGCTATGCGGTATTCTTTGGGCCTAACTTGATCGCCTGGAATGCTCGCAAGCAAACTACAATATCTCGCAGTAGTACTAAAGCCGAGTACAAGGCAGTTGCCGATGCCACAGCTGAGCTCATATGGGTACAATCCTTGTTACGAGAGTTGAGAGTCTCTATGGCTCAGCCTCCACGTCCTTTGGTGTGATAACATAGGTGCCACATACCTTTCATCTAATCCGGTATTCCATACTCGGACGAAACACATCAAAGTTGACTATCACTTTGTTCGGGAACGTGTTGCACAGAAGCTACTTCGTATCAAGTTCATCCCTTCCAAGGATCAACTTGCTGACATCTTCATGAAGCCTCTTCCACAACCGCAGTTTGTAGGCTGTAGACACAATCTTAACTTGCTTTGTACTTCAGGCCATAGTTAAGATTAGGGAGGGTGTTAGACTGTATATACGTACCTCTGTACCTCTCTGTATATACCCTGTATTATACCTCTTGGTACTTCTATATATATGAGATAGCTACACCCATTCAGGGTGTCGAGCAGTTTTCCAAACATATCGTCTTACATGAAGTGTCCCACTATTCAGTCTCTGATAGTAACGTTTGTATAGTTGAGCTGAAATCCTCGACCTTGAAAAAAAATCCTTCCAAGCACTGCTCTCAATAGAAAAAGAAAACTAAACAAGCGCCAAAGACCACCCGAACTGCCCCCACAGACCTAGGATACATAGTTTTGAGGCATTTCCGGCCTCGGGTGAAAATTATTCCGTCATGCTGCCCACTTACATAAAGTGTCATGGTACCGTCTGCTCATCGCATATCTGCAACGAGCCGACCATCATGTGCTATGATCAGCTTCATGACTTCATCTTTACTGGCTTGCCAAGAGGGATGACGCATTGGTTGATCTGGTGTATGGACTTGGTGTGAGAGCATTGCGAGCCCGTTGGCGTGGAAGTGATGAGTGTGATCTCAGTGAATGGGAGAACATAGTTGTGATGTGTTTAGCACAGGAAGTGAAATACCCAAGACTCGTATGAGCAGCTTGTCTTATCCGGTTGTGTACGTGTTCTCATCTCGAACTCATCCTCCCAGTGCATCCCATACTCAACAGTGGTCATCATCCTAATAGGCCAAGCTAAGTGCTACCTCTGCATACACCCAGTGCAGCAATAGAAAAATGGGCAAGCATAAAATTTCACCCTGTAGTTGCAAGTGTTTAGCTTTTATACTCGTTGGGACCGTGTAGCTAGGTGCAAAGGAGTGATTCGACAAGTATTTATGGTCGGGTTTGTTGTTGATTTTACCATACCAACACCCTGATGCACGTGCTTAAATGAGATGCTAAGTACACGAAATGACTTAGCAACAAATGTACACGTGCTTAGCTTTTTGTAGCTAAGTTTTCTTCATTTAATTATGTAGCAACTAAACTTCTTCAGGCAAAGGTGTCTTGCATTGTTTTTTTCCAATAAACTTCCAATTTATTCATTCTCAATCATGGTAGTATAAAGAACACCAGCAGTAATAAAATTTACTATCTGACCACCTAGCGATGACTGCAAGCAACGGAGCAAGCCGAAGCCGTCACCCCTCTCTCGGCAGAGCCGGCCAAACCTTATTGTAGTAGACAGTCGAGAAGTCGTCGTGCTAAGGCCTCATAGGACCAGCGCACGTACCAGAGCAGCAAACATCATCGGCGAAGAAAGTCGTAGATTGGATGGACCAAACATGTAAACACCCAAACGAAGACGAAGGAAAACCAGATCAAAACAGATCGACCGAAGATCAGCTCTGACCAAATCCCGCGACATCCGACGGAGGCACACCTCTATACACCCTCCGATGAAGCTAGACACACCATCAGGGCGGGGATATAACGCGGAAGACATTATTCCTACTGAGAGACACCACTGCCGCCACATAGCCCCAACCAAGACGTTGAACCTAACAAGAACGAGAATGGAACCCCCACCCCCCACCCCCTGCTGGCGGGTGCCCGAGGTCCTCCGCATCTCCATGGCCCAAAGGCATGAGGCAGATCGGCGGCGGCGCCGACGGGAGAAGGAGGAAAGCCTGAGAAATTTTCCTGTGGGGGAGGAGAGAGAAGGCGTTGTGCGTCGGTTCTGATCCACCGGTTTGTTTACTCCAAGGTGTCTTGCATTGATCCACATGCCTGGCATTGTTTCTTTGTGAGATCATAAAAGTGATCTCTCTTCTTATTGATTACTTTGCCATGTCAGTTTCTCTTCTTCTTATGTGACATGCTTAACTCCTGTACATCATGAAACACTGAGAATGGTTTAAGGGTGTCAGAGCTAGCAATTTTAATGAAAGGAAATTCTTTATATAACTATACAGTGTCGCATGTAATCTAGGTGTAGTTATAAATATGATTAACAGTGGACATCATGTTCACGTGTAGATATACACAATTATTATGTTATGAAGGTCTATAGGTTATGATTTGGTAAACACAACTATGAAAATCTACCTGCATAAAATGATTATTATCAAGTATCTAATTAGCTGAAATTCTGATGTTTTGTTGAGTTAGATACACAAAGATTAACTTAGTGTGGTCTAAAATAAAAGGAGCGTCCACCAATTATTGTCCAGATGCTATAATCCTATCATGAACTTGTTTAGCTTCGCCATTGCTTTCCCTCGATATAAATTATCTTACCAAGGAGGTCGATTTAATTTGCATCATTACACATACTTGTCAAGCTCCAATCAAATAAGAAGATTTGATGAGAACAACTCTGGCACTTGATTCTATTGTGTATAGTGTAGTGTGGTGTTTTTGATCATATTACCACCTCAACAACAGCTTGTCCAACTACTTAACTCCTGAGGGTACAACTAGTATCAGGGTAACAATTTTAATGAAATATGATTCTTTATAAAATTATGATTTGCAATGTACAAGATGTTTGACTGTAGATATATAAATTTGAATGTTATGAAGGTATATCAATTATGATATATTGAACGTGATTATAAAGATCTATTGATTATGAAAGCTAATACATGCACGCCTAATAACACTGCAACTCCCTTCCGAAATAATAGGATATCGCTCCCGTGTCGCTCGTGGGCGACATAGGGGCGTCCCAAGGCGTAGACGCCCGTCACCCATAGTCCGCCACTCCTCTTGCTCGCTGCTGCCAGTGAGCGCAGTGGCGACAACACCTACTCCCCTAGATCATATAGAAACACATGCCAGTCGGGTGCACATTGACATCAGGAGTTGCGACAACGGCTTACCCACACCAAGCAGCCTTAGCGACGGCCACTGCGCGGCATAGGAGTGAGGGTTGTCTGCGGCAGTCAGGCCGGGTTGGACTAGTGATTCCTTGCCTCATCTGGAGTCTTGTTGCCATGGCCATCACCGATCTGGAGTCTTCGATTTGTCCTGGCGGCAGCACCTCGTGCTTCCTCACTTGGTTGGCTGACGGCCCTGCTCTCCCTAATGGTGGTGTGGAGGTGCACCTTCTCGGAGGGGTGGTTTTGCCTGGAGGCACTGCTGGTCCAGTGCATGGCCGTGCAACACTTAAGGAGTGTCTTCTTCCTGGCTTAGGCGCCCTCATAGCCAAGCTCTATCCTTGACGAAGCTCCATCAGGTGGTCACCAAAAGGTCTTCATGAGGGTTTCTCCTTCCAGATCTGGTGGTTGACTTCGGCGGGGAGATACAAACTATGGAAGATGACTTGACGCAGAGGAATGTTTGCACAACAGTGGCGATTAACACCACATGTAGCTGCTGGGATCGCGGAAAATTGGTGGAGGCCAAACATAAGTTATGTTGTTGGTGGTGCTACTCGAGGACCCAGTCTCAAGCTCCAGGGTGAAAGTCTAGGTCTAAACTACGTTGGTTATACCTGACAATACCAATGTTTTTGCGTCGTTACCTTGTTGAAGACATTTCTTGGATATGCTTGGACTGGTTCTTCAGGATGAAAACCGAGATTCTTGCCTTGGATGGTTGGATGCAATGACGGTGGTGATTGAGCGCCACTCTCTTTCCGAAGGTGTTGCTGTTGAAAAACCTCGTCGTCTGTGTGTTTTCATCAAATGATTGGTGTAGATATGATTATTATTGTAGTTTTTGATGGCGGATCTAATCACTTTTAGTTTTTTTTTCTTTTTTGCATCACCTATGCATAGCTTTGGTAGTACATCCCTTTGCTATTTGCCGGTGTACTCATTGTGAAGCTCCCGTGCATAGCAGACGGCTAAAGCGTGCGAAGAATGTCAAGAGAGGTCTGGATAGACCGAATTTAACATGGGAGGAATTCGTAAAAAGAGACATTATTAAAACCATTCAGCTGTGCATCAAGGGCGCCTCCCTGTGATAGCCACGTCATCACAGCGTGGAAAACAAAACAGATCACCGGGACAAAAACAAAACAGATCGCTGGGCAAAAACAAAACAGAGTCCAATCCCGCACGCAACCTCCTCCCCGTTCCTCTCTGCCCTGCGCCGTCCCCATCCTCTGTAGAAGGAGCACGGCTCTCGTCGCTGTGCCTGGTGGGGATCCGGTGCATCCCCTCTCCGCTCGCCTCCTCCTCTCCTGGGTCCCTGCGTTGCCGGCTCAGCCGCTTCTCCTGCGTCTTCTCCTCCCCGCTTCTCTCCTCCTAGTCGAGTCCTGGACCAGATCGGCGTCCGGCGCGGGAAGCTCGGGGTGGTCGCAGGTTCGGGCGCCATCTCCTTTCTTCCCGTACACTGGGATCAAACAGCCCGCGGCCTGGCGGTGCCGGCCTGGATCCGAAGGCAGATGGACCAGATCCTGGAGCTGGGCACGAAGGAGCTCGAGGTCGACGACTCCGGCTTCGTCCTCCTCCTCTGACGTCGCCACCTTGCTCAGGTCCAACACGTCTATCCATCGCCCCAGTTTTTACCATTTCGTCGTGATTACCATCCCACACCATCCATAGGGTGTGCCTTCTGCCCTTCTCACCACTCTGAACTCGGAGCAAGTGGAAATTGGGTTGGGGAAGTTTTTCGAGCTCGAAATTAAACCCAGTTCTAGAATAGTAGAAGCTGGTGCTGAGATGGTCGGTAGGCAGTGGCACTCATAGGTCTCCATTGCTTCAAATCTATTTGGTTTTAGGTGATTTGGCACCCAAAACTCACAACACTGTTGCTACACATCAGTTCAGGAATCAAGGCAAATAGCGGTATTTCCCTTTGGGGTGAATGGACGAACTGATTATGGGAAGACCAACCAAGTAGTTTATACAATACTCACAATTTCTCACACTTCCAGCGAATTAAACTGACGATTAGATGTGCCTTCTCTCCTTCGTACATTGTTTAGGGGTTTGGTTTGAGAAGTGGGTTGCAGCACTCATGATTTTGCTTGTTTCAGGGATGGAATGAATTGGGGGTCAGCATCTAACACACACACACAGAGGGAGAGAGAGAGAGAGGATAATTCTGTTTATTACGTCAACCATGTAGTAGAAACCAGATAGAACTAAACAGCTAGGGTTTTGAAGTTGACTCGGTAGCTGAATGTCCATGAATTTGTGTAAAACGACAAGTGCGCTACTGAATTAAAATTCTACCTATTCATTCCATTGCCCAGTTACCATCTGAAAGGTTCTATTTTGCCACCGCAACTCTAATTAGATTGTTATAGTTCAGACTAAGGGGATCAAGATTAGTCATCTGTTAGCTATGTACTATGGACCTCAACACTAGCTGAGTAGCTACGTAGCTAATCATTGATCTTGCCTTGGGTGAAAGGCTGGCGTTTGTTAATTCAGATACTGAAAGGTAACCCACACTGACTTAATTTGTTTACTTTCCTTCTGAAATCTTATTTGCTTAGCTTCTATTGACGACATTTCTAATCTTTTATCTTCGTCGGTAAACTCAACTGCATCTCAGTTTTCTGTTCCCATTTCCTGGATTGCGGGTCCTGATGCGCAAGATTCTTCTGTTTGCTACGGGTCCTGGATGATGGCAAGCATTGACGTGCGTACGCCGTTGCAACAGCCACACCTCAACCCTCCTGACGCACGCAATAATCAGCGGTGCCAAAATGATTTAGTATTTGCAAAGGTCGCTTTTGTTGCATTTTCTACGTGAGAAACCATCTCAGGCTATAAGTTTGCACAGCCTGGACACTTCACTTGCATACCTTGTTAGTTACTGATTGGACTATACGTAATTATGTTCACTTATATATAACAAGAGTTACTTTACCCAACTCCCAAGGAAATTGATAAAAGAAAAACATATCTGCATACTAAATGTTCTTGCAAATCTTGTTCTCAGATTGTCAATTGAAGGTGACCACGAGATATTCTCATGTTCTTTTATAATGTTTATTTGGGGATTAAAATCTTGATAATTAGATGTACTGCTTCGCTTCATATGTAATTTCCCTCATGCCTTCTAATCCGTTCAGATGACTAGCTATTATCCACATTAGGTTTTGCTCTATCTAATTGGTCGTTCAATTAGTCAAATAGCCGTTTCATTTTTATTATGCTGACACAAGATCTGTCTCTATTCTAAGATTTAGTTTCTGGTCACTTTTTGTGAGGTTTTTCATCAAAGATTCTCTTTAAACTCCTATTTTATACCTTTCTTTATGGTTCTTTGCATGGAAGTACTGTCTTCTTGCTTATATTATTCTTCTGCTATCATACAGATTTGGATGCACCTGCACAGTACTGATAGTACATGAAATTCATCAACCTGCATCCAAATGCATACAATATGCATGCTAAGCTTTCTTCAAATTTGCTCTAACAGAGTGATGAATACAATATGCATGCTAAGCTTTCTTCAAATTATGCTAATTGATCTTAAAAAGCTGGCTACTAGTGTTATTTGCTGCAATTTATTTCTGACAGCCAGGTAGTCTTGGAATGCTTTCGTAATGCAATTTATTTTTGACAGACAAGCTATGCTAATTGATCTTGAAAAGGTGGCTACTGGTGTTATCTGCTTTGTGGAAGGCTGTTAGCATTAAACTTTAGTGCTCGCCTGTTCATCATAGTCTCATTCCCTAGATAATTAATGAGGCATGAAAAATAGGTGAAATTGCAGGAAAATTGAAGATGGGAACACGATTCATTTTGTCAATGGGAACATCTACTGTTACAGATACACTTTCTGTATTCTACCTATCGATGGCGTAATGTTTGAATATTAAGTCATTTCTTTTTGTCATTAGCAGTTGCTTTTATTTATGTTCATATTCCAAGTATGCATGTGCTGCTCCGGTGGTGTTTTATTAGTTGATTGGCATATATGGATCTCTCCATGTTTATTAGTTGATCTCCAACCCCTACTCTGCTGTGGTTCTGTGGGAGCAAGAAGAGCATGCATGCTTTCTCTCTACATCTAGGGTCCATACGGCCAGATTGACGGGCCTAAACTCTGGGTGAGCTCCTCCATGATCCGATCGATTTCTTACCTTGTTGGTTGTGTCATATGGCTATTAGCATTTGATTGATAAATATTTCAGTTTTACTGAATGATCTTGCTTTACCCATCTGCACCTTGAGTTGATCTTTTCTTTCATGTTTACTTTTGCTACTATTCTTGTCCAGCTCAAAGGTTTCTTTCAAGAATCATGAGAGAACATTCAAGGAGTGGATTATTCGGAAATTATAACCTCCAGATTTCTTACGGCATCTCCAGCCGTTGGCCCCCCCAGGACGCATAAAAATCGCCCCCTAGGGGCGAGCCGGGGATACAATCGGCGCTAGGGGCGGTTTTGCGCCCAGTCGTTGCCCCCAACTCGCCCCCAGGCGCCGAAATTGGCCCATTTTGCAGCCCAATTTCGGCGAATAAAGGGCCCATATGGGCGAGAATAAGCCCATATTCGGCGTGGTTTCGCCGTGTCTCGGCGTTCAATTATCAACACAATTATTTCTTATCACATATTTCATCACAGAAAAATCAAATACTTCAACAAAATAGTACAACAACAAATAGTTCACTACAAATTATATAGTTCAACAAATAAAAACTCGTATTTCATCACACCGCGTCCCCCTTGAGCCTTCATAGGTGCTCAATCAGATCTTTCTGCAGTTGATGATGCACCTGTGGGTCTCGGATCTCCTGATGCATACTGAGATAGGCAGTCCAAGTTGCCGGTAGCTGGTGATCAACTTCGGCTAGAGGACCCTGCCTGTAGTATGGTTCAGTGTCAAACACTGGGTCTTCTTGCTCGCTCTCGATGATCATGTTGTGCAAGATGACACAGCAAGTCATAATCTCCCACATTTGATCTTTGGACCAGGTCTGAGCGGGGTACCGAACAACAGCGAATCGAGATTGGAGCACACCAAATGCCCGCTCGACATCCTTCCTGCAAGCCTCCTGAACTTTCGCAAACCAGGCGTTCTTGCCTCCTGCCACAGGGTTTGAAATCGTCTTCACAAATGTCGACCATCTCGGATAGATGCCATCTGCTAGGTAGTACCCCTTGTTGTATTGGTGCCCATTGATCTTGAAGTTCACCGGAGGAGAATGGCCCTCAACGAGCTTGGCAAAAACAGGAGAGCACTGCAGCACGTTGATGTCATTGTGAGTTCCTGGCATACCAAAGAAGGAGTGCCAAATCCAAAGGTCCTGTGTGGCTACCGCCTCAAGCACCACACTGCAACCGCCTTTGGCGCCTTTGTACATCCCCTGCCAACCAAATGGGCAATTCTTCCATTTCCAATGCATGCAGTCGATGCTTCCAAGCATCCCAGGAAATCCTCTTGCTGCATTCTGGGCTAGGATCCGAGCAGTGTCTTCCGCATTGGGTGTTCTCAAGTATTGTGGCCCAAACACTGCCACCACTGCCCGACAGAACTTGTACAAACACTCTATGCTGGTGGACTCGGCCATGCGCCCATAGTCGTCGAGTGAATCACTGGGAGCTCCATATGCAAGCATCCTCATCGCTGTCGTGCACTTCTGGATGGAGGTGAATCCAAGAGCGCCAGTGCAATCCATCTTGCACTTGAAGTAGTTGTCGAACTCCCGGATGGAATTCACAATCCTGAGGAAGAGCTTTCGGCTCATCCGATAACGGCGCCGAAATGTTCTCTCACCATGAAGTGGAGCATCGGCGAAGTAGTCGGAGTAGAGCATGCAGTAGCCTTGGAGACGATGCCGGTTCTTTGCTTTCATCCGCCCCGGCGCCGAGCCACCTCGCCGCGGCTTTTCATTGCTCGCCAGCAGCTGGCCGAGGGCAGCGAGCACCATGAGATGCTCTTCTTCCTGGACGTCGGCCGCGGCTTCCTCCTCCAGCAGCGCGGCGAGCTCTTCCTCCTCGTCCGAGTCCATCGCCGAGGCAGGCAAAACACCGAACACCTTGCGCTCGGTGGGCGTGTACCCGCCGTTAAACCGCGCCTCCGCGGCCGGAAACGCCCAGCTGCTGTGGGAGGGGCTGCCGCGGCGAAGCACTGCTATTTTCCGGCGGGGAATGGCTATCTAGCGGAGTAGGGCGGCGGCCGTCGCCGGGATATAGCTAGTGGTGGCCGAGGGCGCGGGGGGTGCGAGGCGAGTCAGGGGAAGAAAACCTTGACTTTTCCGCTGTCGGTGTGGGCCAGGCATGCTTTTCCCTAGCGCCGGAGCCCCCAACTGCTCCCGAGCGCGCCGGGTTCGGCCTGTGACTGCCGGGCAGAAAAAAGGTCCGAACCGGCGATTTTCGGCGTCCTGGGGGCGCGACTGGGCCGTTTTTTCGGCGTCGGCGCCGAAAAAGTGGCCTGGGGGGCCCTCTTGGGGGCGCGGCTGGAGATGCCCTTAGAAGTGAGGTTACTTTCCAACTACTCCCTCCGTTCCGAATTACTTGTCTTAGATTTGTCTAGATACGGAGGTATCTAGCAT